ATGATGTAAGCAGTAATGAACACTTATTTAAAAAGATAAAGCCCAAGACACCACTGCCAAGATCTTGCGCAAGTTTTCCTGAAAAAATTCTTTGGCACAGCTAAGCACAGAGATTTTACACCACAACAAGGTATTCCTTGTTCCCTCTGGTGTTCAGTTTTAACCACTGTTCATCTTTTCACCAGCTTTTTTACACTTTACAAAATGCTTTACCCTAATCTTTTGAGCTAGATAAGAGCATAATAAGCTGCACTTGAAGTTACAAGAAAAGGGGAAGGGACTCACGCCAAAAATAGAACGATACCTTTAAACTTTCCAGCTAACAACTAGGCACTCTCTTGTATGTTCTAAAGAAACAACTAACTGTGAGAAATACACGTTTACTCAGTTTCTTCAACCTAGGCATACCTGTGTTGCAAATGATACTTGTGTATTTCTGGAGAAAGAAAGAGCATAGCCTCCGCTTTCAGACAGCGATGGCTTCCCTGTATGTTCTTCTCTTTCTTCACCTATTCTATTTTTTTATTTTATTTTATTTTATTTTATTTTTTGAGACGGAGTCTCACTCTGTTGCCCAGGCTGGAGTCCAGTGGCAGGATCTCGGCTCACTGCAACATCTGCCTCCCAGGTTCAAGCAATTCTCCTGCCCCAGCCTCTCAAGTAGCTGGGATTACAGGTGTGTACCATAACCCCTGGCTAATGTTTGTATTTTTAGTAGAGAAGGGGTTTCACCATATTGGCCAGGCTGGTCTTGAACTCCTGACCTCAGGTGATCCACCCGCCTCAGCCTCCCAAAATGCTGGGATTACAGGTGTGGGCTGCCGTGTCCTTCCTATTTTTTTTGTCTTTAAATCAAGATGAAAAGACAACATGATGTAGTGATTAGGAGCATGTGCTCTGGAGCCACACTGCAGGGGCTCGAATCCTAGCTCTGCCACAGTGCAAACTTGGGCAAGTGACTTAACTTCTCTGTGTCTCCGTAGACACATCCCTAAGATGGGAATAGTACCACCCCCTTTACTTGGTATGAAGATTAAATGGGTATATGTGAAGAATTTTGCATAGAAACTGGCACACAGCGCTATATAAATATTTGTTATTCCTATCTCAGACCAGTCTTGGAGCATTAAAGAAATAGAATTCACAAAAGTAAGGGTAAAAACCTGGAAGGGAGTGATGAGACAGAGAGGAAACTTGTAGTAGCCAAAGAGAAGACACAGAAGGCGAACAACAATGAAATGTTGACTGTTTCCAAGAAATAGAAAACCAACTACAAGATATTGAAGCAATGGGCCAAGCAAAGCAAAGCTGTTTTTTCCTTGTTCTGCGGACTGCTCCGATGCCAGACTTTTCCATTTTCCGGTCTGGATTCGTATCACTGTCTCAGTTTCATATGGGGGACCTAGATCAAATAGTTCAGCATTAGGGGGCAGTGGCAGCCCTTACTAAGCCCCTGGGTTCGTGAATATGACTGCAACTCTCACCCTCTAGAGCCTAAGGTTACGGGAGGACTTGGCCTCCAGATATCAGATCTGAGGTGGTGAGGAGACAGGAAGAGAGGAGATTGTAAATCTACCAGCCTCGTTACTCACAGAGGGGCCCTACGAGCCCCTCAAACTCAGCCACAGAGCCGCCATCACCTTGCATACAGTCTGCCCGTGGGACTGTGGGATGTAAATGCAGATAGAAAGGACCTTCTAGACCCCAACTGCCACATCTCGCCATTTTTTGGCTACTGAGATCCAGAGAGAGCAATCAACTTGCCCCAAAGCTATAGGATATGTAGATGATTATTTTGACAGACCACTGATAACTGAAATATAAGCACTTCTCCTCATTAAACCTTCTTTAATCACTATATTTTAGTCATTTTTAAATGTTCTTTTAAAAGAAAGCCACCAAGCAAAATAAGTATCTCTTGAGCCAAAATAGTGACGTCAACTGTGTAATGGTCACTTCCCTGTGACAGCTACCAGGCGGCAGGGGCAGTGAAGCACCCGTCGTCACGCTGGTTCCCTACTGCATACTTGGAATATGCTGGAGAATATTCGGAGAAGCATGGGTGCTTGCTCTGACATGAGTCTCAGAGGTGCAGACACGCACCTGCGACATCCTAACTTTCCTTAGAAGCGATTTGGAACTATTAACCACAATATATTTATCCAAAGTCCCTATAAACTAAGACTTTCTGGCATCCTTTAAGTTGAACCAACTGAAAATACCCTTTGACTCTTCTTCTGCCCGTCCTACTGATGTCTGTCACCTTCTCCTGCCTGATCCCAGCCCCACCAGAAGGTCATGAGCAAAGTGGCCTTCTCAGAATGCAGCTGCTAAAGGCTCAGCCACACAGAATCCATCCAAGGGCCTCACGCGGTCAGAGCTGTAGGTACCACATTTTTTCCCACAGACCCTGTTTTGAAAGATTTGGTCTAGCAAGTTTATTAAAATGTTTTCCATTTAAAATAATCAAAGCATATCTGACTGCCAATTAGAGCTCCCAAGCAACAGAAGATAACTAGTATTGCCACACTGACTTGCTAGTATTTCAACCCAGAAACAAAATGCATTTTAGCCAGCTGCAGTGGCTCATGCCTATAATACTAGCAATTTGGGAGGCTGAGGTGGAAGGATCACTTGAGCCCAGAAAGTTGAGGCTGCAAGTGAACTATGATTGTGACACTGCTCTCCAGCCTGGGTGAGACAGCCAGACTCTGTCTCAAAAAAAAAAAAAAAAGAAAAAAGAAGAAGAGGGTGGGTTCCATGGTGTAATGGTTAGCACTCTGGACTCTGAAAGAAGAAGAAAAGAAGAGAAAGAAAGAAAAGAAAGAAAAGAAAGAAAAGAAAGAAAGAAAGAAGGAAAGAAGGAAAGAAGGAAAGAAGAAAGGAAAGAAAGGAAAGAAAGGAAGAAAGAGAAAAAAGCATCTTAATAAGCCAGCGCTGCCTGATTCTGAAAATATTTGCTTCTGCCTGCCACCTTGCTCCCCACTACACTGCTCCAACCTGAACGCACCCTGGAATCTGGCACAGCACTGAAGACTCTCTGGGTTGCCCTCCCAGCAAAGCAGCCAATTTATCTATGATCTGAAATTACATCAAATTTCCAAGGACTGCGAAAAACATTTCCCATGAGCAAGAAGTTAATTTATTTGCACTGGGAAATGAGTGGTTCCCTTTGCTTTCCTGACCCTCCCATAAGCACCAGGAAACAACATTAAGTGACCCTGAAGAGAGACCCCAGACAGAGTCTTCACTTATTTAAGATGGCCTCAAATCAGCCATGTGTGACAGAGGACATAAATTCTATAGTCCACAGTATAGGGCCTGGGGGTTCTTTAAGCTGAGGTGCAGCATCTATCTGAATGCATTCCCTTTTGAGAAATGATTAGGTCGTGTTCAGTTTCACGTGTCATACTTTGGGGGAAGAGTGCTGAAGTTGTGTATCTGGAGCAAATTTAACAAACTTCTGCTTTATGCAATCATAGGTAAGAAAGTAATCATTTAAAAGCTCAGATAGTGGAGTTCATTGTGTTAGGACAGGCTATAAGAAGCCCCCTCTTCCTCTGCCCACGGTAATTTATTTCATAAAAACTAGAATTATTTTTAGAATTGGAAGGAGCAATATTTGAGATCACCCCAGAAAAAGGGTCATTTGGAAGCCCCAATAAGAAAAATTCATTTTCCAATCAAACCGTATTAATTTTAACAACTCCCAACCCACCAAAAAGCACTCCAAGTAATGAGAACCATAAAAGGAGGGAGGAAAACAGACATCGGTTCATGGGGCTAATAATTTTCTTCTGTTGTCAGAACAGCCTTGTTCTATTATTAAACAATCAGGTCTCATGCATCCTCCCTCCATTTCTGCAACCCCCTGGATTAGAGGGAGTCTCTCATTTCACTCTTCTTGGCCTTGTTGAAGAAGCACAGGTGACCCATAGGACATCGGATTCTTACAGACCATAAACTGCTGATATTCCAGGTAGTCAGACATTATTCAAAGGACCTGTTGCAAATCATGCCACTGTCTTTCAAAGTCAAGTTAGTACTTAATATGTGCCAGGTATTGTGCTCGGCACTTGGCATGGACTATCTCACTTAATCCTGTGATTTATATACTATTTGCCTGTATTTTAGATTAGAAAGATGAGCGCTGGATAACTTGCCCAAGGTCACAGAGCTCATCCACTGCCAAGCAGGGACTTGAAGCCTAGTGATCTGCTTGCATACCCAACACTCTTAACCATAGTTCTGGCCCACCTTATGATATCAGGGTGCATGCGGGCCTTACTGAATTCCCCAGAAAAACACACACACACTGGCTATGGACACTGTCCCTCCAAAGAGTAGCATTCACCAGGACTAAGGAAGACATTCCTTCTCTTGAAAGATTCAGACTGAACCCCACAGAATGACTGTAATAAGTGCAAGAAGTAAACAATACTGTAGACTCAGGGAGCCACAGTTATATGCCACCATTCTGTATTGTGAAACAGCCTCCTGATTTCCTGAAATCTACTCAACAATGAAGAAAATACAAAGAGGCTGTTGGAATCATTTCTACGTATCTTCTGATAAGGGTAACGTCTGCAACCTCAGGTGAGCTTTGAGACTTCAAGGCACGTTGCAAAAGGAAAAAAGTGAAAGGAAATCGCTGTTCTTGGGCCAGAATATATTTCATTCACAAAGAAAAAAAAATCTGAACTTTCTAGAATGTTTTTAACCATTGATCCCAAACAAAATGCTTATCATCTCAAATCTAATACTGGGTCCTTCCCACTTAAAAAAACTGTCCCCAAAGCACATGGAGAGTGGTAACTAACCCCATGGGTCAACTTCAAATAAGCCAAGGTATAAAAGGTATAAAACAGCTCCAAAAAGACTACGCTTTGAAAGGAAGGCCTTAAAGCATTTTGCAAACTTCACATGCACTTGTTTTATATGAGTATCTATAGCCACATACAGCATAAAAAGAAAGCTTTGAAAAGGGAAGGAACTCACTGTACAGAAGACAAAACAATACCCTTTTTATTTTTAAAACTCTGGTGAAATAGGTTTCCATAGGACATCCCATTCAAAAAAAATTAATGTAAACCAACCTGCCTGTGGGTTAGTCACACTATACAGATTTCATCAGAGTGTTTACAGATACCTAGAGTATTTACAAATTCTATCCGTTAGGTAGTAAAGTGTTGTTGCAATTTTTCCAGCACATATTCCACAGTAAAATAAAGGGGGTATATTGGTGTTCTTGTATAAAAATCCTTAACAAATAGAGAAAGGCAATTTTCCTGAGAGAAGATTTGTTCTTGAAATATTTTTCTTTAACAATTGGAAATATAGAAATGGGATGTAGTTGTAAAAGAAGCATAAGAATGTCTAAGTTAACATTTTTCTTTTAAATTATTTTAAGTACCATTAAGTTAAAATGTTTACATTCATTATAAAAAAATGCTGTTAAATCTTATGCAAATGATTTAACACTGATTGCTGCAACGCAAATTGCACTTTTAAAAAAAATTATTGTATACATGGAAGAAAAATATCTTGTTTGCTACCCTGTTTACAAATTCTGACTGACTTCAGATCAGCCACACAATATGAACTTTGAGAAACATCAGTCACAGTGTATGTTAAAGTTACAATGCAGTCTTGCAAACTGAGTAATATTTTTGACAAGAGACCTCATGAACCGACTCAGCCTCCAGAGATGTGTACCAAATGGCCTCAAGTGATCTTCTCCACGAACGCACGTGAAATCTGGATGTGGAAAAGGTATGAAGAAATTCTGGAACAACCAAAATTGATCAGAAGAAGCACATGATTTTGGACAAAATGCAAAATCTTTTTAAAAAAATCTCTCTCAATATTCCTTAGCAGGCCAGGCCCAGGTCCTAGTCCTGTTTCTGGAAGCGGAGCAGGGTCCGCCCCGGAGGCGGGCTGGCTGGAGTGGCCCTGGCCAGAGAGGGAGGCAACGCGCCCAGTTGCACCGGCCCTTCCCTTCCATCTTCTCTCACTCTTCAGCAAGCCTCTTGGGGAAAACATCTCTTTCAAAATAAAGGCACGAGAATCACGATCTGTCAGCGCAGTCGCCACTGTCTGGACTGCTGCACAAAAGCAGACACGAGTGGAGTGAGGCCCGCGGCGGAGCCCTCCCTGCCTCTTGGCGGCATGGGCTCAGGCCAGGGCCAGGGCGCACCAGGAATCCTGTCGCACGGAGGACGTGACTTCGGCCGGCGAGGCCAGACTGACGCCTATGTAGAGCCCATCTTGACCCGAATATTTGAGCTCGCTGTTCTCGGGATTGGTGCTCTCTCCCGCGCCAGTCATCACCGGGGCACCCGCCTGGCAGAAGAGGGGGACAGAGAGGAGAGACGAGAAGGGGAGAGGCGGTTACCATCCTGCTAGTTAAGAACATGAGAACTAATGAACGGGTCAGTGCAGCCAGGGCCAGAGCTGCTCCTGGGCGGACCCAGGGCAGGGCAAGTGAGGTCGGCATTACTATCCCCTGCCCCCAGCAAGTGGGGGCTTTTCCCTGCATTGCACGCGGTGCCACTGACCTGACCCTGGCCACTCAAGCCTTGGAAACTTTAGAACTCAGGGCAGGAGCCACTGGCAAGATGCAGAGCTGGACAAAAGGAAGGGGAACTGAAGGAATCCTATTTGTCAAAAGTGCCAAGTTCTAAGATCTCTGACGGTGAAACAAACCTCACTGTGTGGGTAAACAGGCATTAATGATGCTCGCACAACCTAATCATTTCCAAAGAGAAACGTGCGCACGTGCACACATACATATACACACACAAACACACACATCTCTAACAAGGCTTATCCAGTGATGGCAAAGTCTTTTAGACTTTTTAGAAAAGCTACACAGTTCAACGTTCCCTGATAAGTGAAATTTTTTAGCACTGACTTCATGGAAAATAAGCCCGTGCATATACAGGTTTTAAAATCTACCTCATTTACCTTAATTCTTTACAAGAACAGTCCATCTCTGAAGCAGACCACATTATAAAGAAAATGCTAACATCCTCTATCTGCCATGCATGATCATGGCAATGATTTCTTTTTTTTTTTTGAAACAAAGAGTCTCACTGTCTCCCAGGCTGGAGTGCAGTGGCACGATCTCAGCTCAGTGCAACCTCCATCTCCTGGGTTCAAGTGATTCTCCTGCCTCAGCCTCCCGAGTAGCTGGGATTACAGGCACGCACCACCACACCTGGCTAATTTTTGCATTTTCAGTAGAGACGGGGTTTCACCATGTTGGCCAGGCTGGTCTCGAACTCCTGACCTCAGGTGATCTGCCTGCCTCAGCCTCCCAGGGTGCTGGGATTACAGGCATGAGCCACTGTGCCCAGCCACAATGATTTCTTGAAGCACAAGTTCACCTTTCCCCTCTTCCACCCATTCCTCCTATTCACATGAGAAAGGCCAAATAGGAAACATCATATAATTTAGTAGAATCAAACCAAAATAACTAAAATCTGTTTAGACAACAGTTTGAATAAACTTGCTTTTGAGATGCTTTTTGAAAAATCTCACCATAATCATGTACTTTTTTAAATCACATTTTCTTTCTAAAAGTTCAGGAGCTCTTATTCCTTCCAAGCTTTCAGGGTTCCATTCTATAAATTACCAGATACTTGTTATTTGACAGAGGTAGGACATTGTGTACTTTTCAAAGAATTTCTTTTTTACATACATAATCCCATTAAATCCTTAAAACAGCCATTTCTCTGGCAGTAGACACAGGCAGAACAGAAAGGAAGTGTGCCGAGCCTCTGCGGCCTGCAAGTGAATGAGGTTCAACTCTACTCGTTTTTCCAACAAGATCTGGTTTGCTCTCAACCCTCACCATAAGCGCATGAGGCTGGGAGGAGGCAGGACTTCAGGGAGCAAGCCCTCTGAGTCTAAACACCCAAACTTCCTTCCTCCCAACCAGAGAGACCAAACCCAACCCCTCCACAGGTAACTACTCCTTCCCTTTCCCAGCAGAAAGGTTTTATGAAAATCCAGCAACAAAACTGGCCCCACACCCAAACTTCTGTTTACATAACGCAAGTGTAAAGACTTAAACTGAGGGTTTTAGGTGCATTAAAAAGCAAATTTCACAAAATCAGTGAGATGTCTAAAGCTTCAGATGGATTCTTGTGGCAATTCTGAAAGAGCTAAAATAATCCTGTCCAAAGAACTGAATGCCATGAACGTGGTTATACTTACAAACACAGTGATTAACTTTAGCCCTTAATTCCAGACTCTACGAGAAGCAAATCCAGTGTGGATCCAGATTTAACCCTCAAATAAATAAGCAAAAGGATGATATTCCGTTACAAAAGAATTAGTTATTTAGAAAGGAACTATTAGAGTGAGCTTCCTTATAATGATATATGTCACGTCCAACTTTGCAATGATTTTCTTATTCCAAAACTGGCACATCAGCATGCATCTGACTAAATCTGACTTCACCGCAACAAGTGTTATTTTCTGAAATGGATAAGGTTCCTGAACTGGCCCAGGAAATAGCCCATCTCAAATGGCAGGGAAATGCCAAGACAGCAGAGGGGTCTGTCACCACCACGACAGCCTGCAACAAGAAACATAACCAGGCTGGGCACGGTGGCTCGTGCCTTTAATCCCAACGCTTTGGGAAGCCGAGGAGGGTGAATCACTTAAGCCCAGGAGTTTGAGACCAGCTTGGGCAACATAGGGAGATCCCATCTCTACAAAAAATACAAAAGTTAGCTGGGCATGTAGTCCCAGCTATTTGGGGAGCTGAGGTGGAAGAATTGCTTGAGTCCAGGTGATGGAGGCTGCAGCGAGCTATGATTGCATCACTGCACTCCAGCCTGAGGGACAGAGCAAGATCCTGTCTCTAAAAAGTAAAAATTAAAAAAAAAAAAAAGAAAGAAAAGAAAAAAAGAAATATTGGCAAAGCACCAACCGACAGCCAGACACTAGACCAGGAGCCTGAAAGATAGTCACCGGCCCAGGAGCTCCCAGGCTATGTGGGTAGCCAGGATCCGTACACATTAGAGAAAGTTGACTGTTGGCTGCTTATCATGAATGACAAATGAATGGCTGAGATAGGAAGGTAGCCCAGGAGTCAGAAAAGGAATAGCAGAGGGCAAGGACTCCTGGGTAAGGAACCAAAGGCAGCCCGCACAGGAGCCTGGGGAGGAGGGGAAGCAGCTTGGACTCTCAAGTCCTGTCCTGATTCAGTCCCCTGCTGAATGCAGTCCCCCCGAGCCTCCTCTGTGCCCAGGTCCTCACATTTCCCACCTCAGGGATGGCTGTGACAATTAAATGAGCTCATGTGTGTAAAAGCGAAGGCAAGGTGCCCTGCCATGGTAAACATTCCATAAAGGGAAGCTGTTGTTACCGGCAAGAGAAGGATGTTCAAAATGGGAGGCAGGACGGATGAAGAGAGGCGGTCACCTGGCCTGCTCAGAAGAAAAGCCAGCTGAAAAACAGAAGGATGAAGCAAAAGAGTGAAGAGACCATGTGGGAGAGGCCAGAAGCCTGACATACAACTCTGTGTGCCTCAATGTCCACACCTATAAAGTGGGATAAAAAGAGACACCTATGTCATAAGGTTATTGCAAGAATTAAATTGGCTAGGCCAGGCGCGGTGGCCCACACCTGTAATCCCAGCACTTTGGGAGGCTGAGGCAGGTGGATCACCTTGGATCAGGAGTTTGAGACCAGCCTGACCAACGTGGTGAAACCTCATCTCTACTAATACACAAAATTAGCAGGGCAAGGTAGAGCATGCTTGTAAACCCAGCTACTCAGAAGGCTGAGGCAGGCTGCAGTGAGCCGAGATTGCGCCATTGCACTCCAGCCTGGGCAACAAGAGTAAAACTCCATCTCAAAAAAAAAAAAAAAAATTAAATTGATTAATATATGTAAACCCCTTGTAACAGTGTCTGAGAACAGTAAAGATTATGTCAGTATAAGCTACTCTTGTTATCTAATTATTATTGTTACGCTTAAGAGGCTTAGATGTAATTTATTCTCCTCATTCTATCCTTCAGCCCAAGCATGTTACCCCATCACCAGGCAGGGGCAGAAGCAGTGGGAACATAGTCGGAGCTCAAAGAGAACCACCTCCAGAATGACCCTATTCAAACTGTCACTGACAGTTCTTCACAAAAATAAATCAAAGTGTTCTGTAGCCATTCAAAAGTCTCATGACTCCCTTTTTTATTTATTTTTATTTTTATTTTTATTTTTGAGATAGAGCCTCGCTCTGTTGTCCAGGCTGGAGTGCGCTGGGTGCGATCTCAGCTCACTGCAACCTCCGCCTCCTGGGCTGAAGAGATCCTCCCATCTCAGCCTCTCGAATAGTTGGGACCACAGACATGTGCTACCATGCCCAGCCAATTTTTGTATTTTTTGTAGAGATGGGGTTTCACCATGTTACCCGGGCTATTCTCAAACTCCTGAGCTCAAGGGATCCACCTGCCTTGGTCCCCCAAAGTGCTGGGATTACAGGCATGAGCTACCACACCTGGTCACTCATTGACTCTTTTTCAACAAGCCACATTAAAGAAACGTGAACACCCTGAATGTTATTCTTACACCTGCGTAACAATCCCAAAAGCAACTGGCCAAAATAACCTGTCTTTTTTTCAGACAAAATGTTAAGCTAAACCTCAAATTCCACGAGTGATGCACTCCTAAAAATGAATCTGCTCATTTGCAATTAAAAGCAATAGCTGAGCCTGTCAGAAGAAAAATGGGGCAAGTACTTGTGCCCAATGCTTGGTAGCCTTATTTTATGTGTAGATATAGTAATATTTAAACATGAAATACTGCAAAGAAAGGCTGATGTTACATGATAACACCAGTTCCCTCACTCATGGCTAGCAGGGCTACATTCCGGTACACCCACCTTACAGAAGGCAGTTAGCTGCAGTGTCAAGAGCCATCCAGAAGTTTAGACCCTACTTTGCCCTGTAATTTCACTTCTGGAAATGTATTATAAGGAAATAATTCAAAAGAAGGGAAAGGCTCCGCAAAGGAAGCCAACCGTCGCAAGGTTACTTCTAATAGTAGAAACCATAGAAACAATCTAATGTCTAGATTAGATTTTCTAAACGTGGGAACGGTTTAGAAAAGCAGGGTACATCCGCTCAATGAACTATTATGCAATTATTAAAAATAATAAGATCATAGAACAAAATGGAAAAAAATCCTGTAACACCATGTTAAGCAAAAAACAGCAAGATATTAATGACACGTCATAACTGCAATTTATCCATGCACATGTGTAAGTATTACAAAGGTCCCCTGGGAGGAGGGGACAAACAGGGGACTAGCTGAGAGGGCCAAGTCTATTA